CCTGCGAAGTAGAAGATTCATTGTACATGCATTTTAAAAATTATTATTTTTAATTTACAATTAGGCCACACTGTTATTTGCCTTCCTCATTCTTTTTTCTAATTTGAAACAAGAGACAAGTTTCTTTAACACATAAATTATTTACATACACTGAATTAGTCAAGGCTAGACACCAATAATTATGATGATAAAATTCAGAGATCTCACTTTTTGGCTCACAATTCTTTCATTTTTTATATTTTCACTTCAAATCAAGCCTTACTAAATTTAAGGAAATCAAACCTGATTAAAAAGCTATGTAAGGAGTTAACGTTGGCCTTTTAAAATCAGATTCTATAGCTGTTGCTTCATCTAGTATTCACTTAAACTTTTGAAATAATGTACAACATTGCCTTCTTTCCTTCTTTAGTCGGTTACTTCTACCTTTTTGTGGGTGTTGGTGATTTATATAACATATTTCCAGACTTAACACTGTCAGTAACTTCAGATAATTACTTTCTAAAAGAGAATACATGCTGGCAAGATGAAAAACAACTTAATTTTCTCAAAGGTTCTGCCGAAGCTATGATAAATATGTGGGCATGCCGTTCTATCATATATGAAAGTAATTTTAGACGCCCACAGCTTGGGTGTAGGTGGGATAGCTAACGGTATTGACGTCAATGGTTAGGCGAGAAAGCACTGAAAACGTCCTGATTACTAGACCTCAGGGGTTCCTTATATTGTCAACAGACATTAGAAATGCCTTTTTGTGATGTCAGGGTTGGCCTGGGGCTTTTTTTTTATTTTTTTGCATAAGCTGATGAAAGCAAGTTCAAAAAGTCCTCTTTTCAATTGAAATTATGTATATTTGAATTGTTGGCATACTGTATTTTTGTTTTAATGGACAGAGAACGTTTTAAAGATATCCAAAGAAATTTCAAGGGAGCAGAACAAAAAATACTCTGATTACAAAATTTGTCTGCTATTGACATTTAAAGCCTTTTCTTAGCACAATTTTGTAATCATTTTATACATAAAGTGTTTGATATAGCCTTCAAACAAGCTACTCAGTACATGGGCCATCTCTTTTTATCATTTGGTAAAATAGCTAGAACAAGCCTATGATACAAAACAAGCACCTGTCTTCTGTCAGTGACATCACATTTTTTCCTCACACTGACAAGACACTATACTATGCAATAGAATTTATTCAGCTTACTACAATACTTACTGAAAATTATCTTTGGAAATCCAACTTTACCACCTTGAAATTGCATTGGATGACTTTATTGTTCCCAAAAAATATAAGAGCGAAAGTGAGGACAGAATGTTAAGAATCATCTTAAGATTGGAATTTTTTACATCTCAAAAGTGGCGTCTGTAAGATTTTCCGAATCCCAATGGAGCCCATCCTGTCTATTTTAATAATGAAATAATCTAATTAGAGTGGCCTAATGAGAAATTAGCACAAAATAGCTCACACTCACATTAGGGGTGCTTATTAGAATAAGTATCTGTACAGATATTAAAAGATTTGTATAAATTTTATACAAAATGAAATGAAGCACTTTGCTTAACACAATCATGAATCTTAATAATATGAAAAATGACAAAAGCTCTAACTTAAAAAGCAAAAATGTACAAATCTTATGCATGAAGCACTATTAGTATTTGAAAACATATAAATCTTATGAAAACACACAAAGCACTATGCAAATCATATAGACAGTAGTTTGCATATTAAAGGTGTCTGTTTTTCATAAGATTCATATATTTTGCCCGTTTTATTTTTGCATTTATTTTAAAAATTCAAATCAATTTCTATATATCATAAGAATTGCTGCAGATGAAACACAACATTATGGTGCTGTCATATCTGGCAACTTTATCATGCACATGTATAATGATGTCAAACGACACAGTAACATATCTAAGAGACATAGGTCAGAAATGAAATATGTCCAATATCTTTGAGTAGGCTTTAATGGCCCACCATAACAATAAAACAAGATACAGACAGTTTATCACAAAACATGGCACTGTAGTTGTGACACGTAGCATAAATATGACGTTAGTTTATAGACTAGAATTTTCTTTAGAGGCTTTCTCTTGACCTATTTTCTGGATTTTATTTTAACTTTTAATTATAAAATAAAAAAGAAAAATAGCATTGGAAAGTAAGGTGATATAAAACAGGAAAATAGGCTATGTAGATCAGAAAGATGTTTTGGCTTTAATACAATGTATTTTTGAATACTGTATGTATTTGTCATCTTTTAATATGACAAATAAAGATTAAAAATGTTAAAACATTTTTAAACTCACAGATATCAGTATGCTGTGGAATAGGATTGGTTGATCTTTCTCTAGATTATAAGAACAACCAGAAAATTGACTTACAAAATCCAGTTTTGCCACCCTGAAATTGCATAATTTTGTAATATAGACCCCCTTTAACGACTGTACATTTGACATTTATTAGTTGCACTGTTTGAAGTCAATGCATAGCATGTATGAGTAATCAGTAGACCCTGAAGCCAAGCCTAAAACAGTAATAATGTTACCCCATGTTGTGACTTTACAGTCTAGAAATCCACTGGATTCCATTTCCTAGGAGACAGGAAAAATCAATGTCACTGGCAACAAGTAAATCTGTTTATATACTATATCTTCTCTTACACTACAACAATTTAATCTATTGTTTCTTGGATTTTTTTCAGAAAAACAGGCGCTAGGCCTAGACATCTTAGGATAGCCCCAAAAGCTACAAAAGGAGCCATGAAGTCAACATACCAGGCTGGTTTATAATTCAAATGTCTATTTTGAACATTTAATCAAAACACTGCATTCAAAGATGGAAAAACTGCAACAACTATAGCTTGTAACAGAAACTTTCTTCAACTGTTGGTACCAAAATATGGAGTTGATTTTTTTTTGGTCAATTAGAAAAAAATAATTTTGCAAATCACTAAAAAAGAAGAAAAATCGGGGAACCAGTTGAATACACTGTGTGTCCATAAATTGGCTTAGATTAATATCTAATTTGTAACATTTTCTAAATCTAATAATGCCAAGTCATCAGAGATTACCAAGCTGCCCGACCAACTTGCAGCAAAGTTATCGTGTATTCAGCACCAAGGACAGGTCCTATGGGATCACCATAGGTTCTTAGATGTTAGTCTACAGGGTTAAGCTCTGGGTATCCTTTAAGTCACAGGGCCAGGGTTTCATCCGTATCCATCCTTTGATGTAATGTACACTGATTTGCATGCTACTAGGGGAGGTTTCAACCCTATGGATGGAATGTTAATGCCTCAAGCTAAATTAGGAAACATTACGACGATACAATTTCAGGTAAATTTTCTGGTCGTTTCTTTACAAAGTCAATTGAATTGACACTAGTTCATAATTTATTTTAGGAAGTGAAATTGTGACATGGGATAAAAGCTGGAAAGACAGCTGTCAGCCATGCTTGTTCACATTTTCAAATTGGTAGTTTGTTGTGGTACCAAGTAAATCGTACAAAGCAGCTGCAAAATGAGCATCTCCTTAACTGCAAAAAATATTAGAAAATGATACTAATGTCATATGTCCAGAATGCCAAAATAAAGTCCAATGGCAAAGAAGAAAATGTGAAGAAATGAACATGAAGAGTCTTTTATTCAACATGACATATTCTGTGTGTTTAGTCAATTGTTCAACCTTGAAGGCAACTTCTTTGCCAAACTTTTTTTTATTTGCACACTTGCATCAGATATGTCATCCGGGTATTCCAATGAACATGGCCTAATCCATGACATTCCTGACAGCCTAACAACCACGTTCCTTGTTTCAAAGTCATGTTTGTTTCCAACATCCTCGAAGATGAGACCAGAACAATTTTACTTATTACAGACTCCATATCATATAATACATATACATATAATAACAATTTCAATTTTGATGAATAACACAATCATTTACGATTATCAGTAATCTATCCAACAGTTGCATTTACAGAGAATAATGACAGGCACACAGCAAACACACAGAAACACAGAAAACAAAGGCGTATTTCAATCGGTTTGGCTTCCATGTAACTGGAGGAAGGGAGTTTGAAATGGGATTTACATGTACATGTAAGTATCATCAAGCCAGAAATCGCAGAGTGAATCGCAAATGAATATGAGAAAGCGCATGGCTTGCAATAGAAAGACAATTCCATGTATCATTATTTATTTCTGATCTAGGCTGCTTGGAAAAGTAAAGGTACGTCAAAGCCTTTAAATAATGCTGCAAAGATTGGATTGTGTGAATCTCATCAAATGAGATATACCCCCTCTCTTGTGGAATAAGGCAAAAAGTTGCACGAAATCCCTACGGATTTTTAGCGAATGCAAGAGGGTATGTGTGGATTTATGCAATGCCTGGAAAATTTCCCCTGGGAACACCATTTTCCATTCACTCGGATGTAGAGGATTCCTAAGAATATTTCTGCAGATATTCCCTACAGCTATAAAGTCCCTGTTATACTTTCAGAACCTTCTTTAGGCCACACCAATTTATAATCATGGCAATTGTGTAATTGGTTCTTGGATTTGTCAGGTTCAATTTCTGAATCAACTCCAAAATGCTCAATAACATTTTGGCCTTAATAGTTGAAGAAAGATCTTGTCTTCCTAGATGTTACAGTTTTTCCTTCGCTGAATATAGTGGTTTGATTAAAAGTAAAAAATTTCTCGTTTAAATTACTACGTAACTTGGTATGTTGACTTCATGGGCCATATCATAGCTTTTGGGGCTACAATAGGATGCCTTGGCATGTTTTTTTTTTTTTAATTTTGCCCTGTTACTCACATTTTTAAAATCTGAGAACCAAAAAAATTATTGATCCTAGCTTTTGGGGCCATAAAAGGATGCCTTGGCATTTTTTTCACATCACCCAGTGAGTGTTACTTCACATTTTTTTAAAATCTGAGAACCAAAAATTAAACTGGTGTGGCCTTATCATCCAAAAAAACAAACAAAAGTTTGCTTACCAAGAGGACGTACTGCTGCGACTTGATGGGCTACGGACACGCTCCTCCGACAGGCTGCTGAACCGAGACTGGCTCGTCATCGGCTCTGGTTTCTCCGTCGCTTTACTCGCCATTCGCTGCCGGCACAACTCCTGCGTGCAGAGGGGGCAAAATTCAACTGTCTTAACTTGGGGTGGAAGCCAGATTGACTGTCTAAAATTAACACTGTACTTACATGATCTAATCGCCCCGAAGCAAAATGAAAGTCATTACCACGGAGATTGGATTACAGCCCAACATCGGGTAAAACCCATTGTTCCAGCCAGCGTCTGTTATTCTGTCATTTAACGGAATTTGGCCACTCATGATGGACAAAAATTTTGCCCAATCCATCATTTTTCATGGAACAAAAATCAGCGAGCGTGTTAAGATATAAAAAGAGCTTAAACTTAAGCTTAGTCTTCTATCAAAATTTGAACCTGAAATGCAGGAGAACTGCTTTTCAGGGGATCAAGATTTCAAAATTTTCCAGGGAGAGCAAGCCCAAAGACCAGGATTGCTGTGTCAGGCTGCTTGACATGAGGTCACGTCAAACAAAATTGTTATGATGGAAAAAAAATATCCGGCTGGCTAGAACACTGGTAAAACCTCACCAAACTACTGGATAAGGATCTACGCCCAGTGGCCATTACTTCCTATATTGGACGCATGGTTCTGGCAAGCTGCCACAGTCAATACGAACAGGAAAGCTCCTTTTGTAGTGCAGTACTGTTTAAATGGAAGGTACAGACTCTGATTGTGCTGGGTAATGAGTTTTTGGGAGTGCAGTGTCCACATTCTGGTTTGCTCTATATGCACACTTAGGGAGAACGGGATAGAATAGGAAGCTTGTTTGATGTGTGCTTTAAGGCAAGGACAAGTCTATTTTGTGTTTGTGCAGTCTTTGGTCACCCAGAGATACCTTTTCTATCTAGTATGCTGCATGATGTTAAAATCAAGGTCGCTGAAAATACATGTACACGTAAGTAATGGCAACAATTAGCATCAACATGATTATTTTCTTTAAAAAGGAGAGGAACAAAAATCATGTACCTGTCCAGACAAAACGAAATCCCTTGATATCAATTTAGTATCAAGCAAATCTTTGTATTTTCTTGGTACCTACATGTAATATGCATTACTGTAATGTACACAAACTACAAATTGCTTTAGCTGAAAGCTTTAAGGCATCCAATGCAATTTTAGGACAGCAAAACTGGATTTTCAAAGACAATTTTCTTATCATTCTTTTAATGTAGTACCGGTATGTCAAATCCATCCCATCCAATTATACCTTGCTGATATTTGTGAGGCAAAAATGTGATGTAGCAGATGGAAAACAGTTGCTTGTTCTGTATTCAAGGCTGGTCATAGCTATTTATGGACAGCAAATAAAGGGACACCTCACTAGTGTGTGTTGTGGGGCTATTTCAAACACTTCAAGTATAAAATGAAGAAGAAAATGTGCTAGAAAGTGGCAGTAAATGTCAATATCAGACAGATTTCCTCATCCAGAATACTTTTTATTTTGCACCCTGAAATTGCACTGGATGTCTTTAGAACACAGCAAAATTGAGGTTCAATGCAAAAATAAATGACTATACAATAACCATTTACCTGGTAATCTGCGGTGGCGTCCATGTCCGGATGTCCGCCCGTTAACCCCTGCAGTTTCGCGTCGCGGTGCGCTGACCTCTTCATGAAGTAGATGGCGATGACGGCCACCAGTACTCCTGCCAGGCAGCCAACCACGATCACTGTAAGAACCAGGTAGTGTGGCCCCTCCTCCGCATTCTCCACAATCTCAATCCTCGTCTGAGAACAAAAAGAGACAATGTTAGATCAGACAAATTTGATGGTTAGGCCACACCATTTGATTTCTTGATTCTTAGATTCTTTTTAGAAAAAATATAAAGCAGCAGGATGAAAAAATAAAAATGAAAACAGAGTTAGGCATCCTCTGATAGCCCCAAAAGCTACAATAGGAGCCATTTATTTTATTTATTTGTACAATGTATAGTATTACACATAACATAATAAAGAATAAAATGGAAAGAAAAACAGTGTGCAGGAAGGGGTGTTAAGCCTAGTAGACTTAAACTGAGCCGGCCTCCTTTAGAATTGATAGATAATACATGATAATAATGATTAAAAAAGAAATAAACTGAAACAAAGATATTGTAAACAAGTTCACAATGACGATGAAAAATTAACGGACCGAACAACCAGTAAACCTAGTTGTAGCTATAAATATAATATTCAATATAGCCATGACGTCAACATTCATTTGGCTTTATGGCAATGCCCCATATGGCAATGCCCAACTTGTGTAAATGCACACCAATATACTGTATTCCAGTTGCCTCAAGCTTCTACAGCAGCACAGAAAGTTCACTCTTATCTTCATTTTCCTAAGCTTCTTTGAAGTCCGACTGGCGTGATATGAATACTCCTGGGTCAGCATAAAGAGGATGCTGTTACCAAAATAAACTATAAACCTTAAAACGTAATGTCCAAAACTGCTAATCCAAAGTCATCCAGTTTTAGAAAGCAGATTTTGTACCTTAGAAAAAAGCAATGTAAAAGAAGTACTAAAATTCTGTCTTAAAGGCATTCACTGCAATTTTAGTCTCACTGGTAAATCTAGATTTTCAAAGTAACCTTTTGGTCACAATCTTTTCATGTAGTAAGTTGAATCTACCTTATCCTATAGCATACTAATATCTGTGAGGCAAAAATGTGATGTCACTGATGGAAAACAGTTGCTTTTTTTGTATTGTAGGGTTGTCCTACATTTATTTATTTTTATTTTATTTTATTGAAATTGCAACAATGCAATACACGCGGAACAGAGGCACTGCTGTCTGCTGTTGCTGATGTTGTGTCCCGCACATAGAAACGAATACAGGACAGACAATACTCATTTTTATTTGAGTCTAGTGGGGAAAGTCGTGTAAAGTGCCTTTCCCAAGGGCACATGATCGGTGACATGTCAGGACTCGAACCCGGGACCTCTTGATTCCGAGTCGCGCACGCTGCCAGTGCGCCACACGACCCCACGATATGGAACTATTTATCAGTGATACCCAAAAGCCTTGTGTAGCTTATTTGGGGGCTATTTCAAATCTTCGAAGTATCAAATGATGAAGAAAATGTGGTAAGGAATGCCTTAAACTGCATTGGATGCCTCTTAACATTCTAAAAGGAAACAGAATCACCACCTGCTGTACCTATATCACACAACTGTGTGAACTTCTGTTTTATATTCAAAAGCTTTGGTTAAGAGATCTTTCGATACAAGATCTTTTTATTCCAACTTTGAAAAGATCACAGACTTCTTTGAACTGTGCTACCCTATGTAGCTTTTTTCAAAAGCAATTAACTGGTGGAATTTTAGATAAAAGAAGCGGCAAGATATATACAGGCTTGCAGGCCTTGAAAAGCGTAGCTACAAAAATAGCAGTGCAAGGTTAAAATTAAGGTGTCCATGATTGCATGCTGGCTAACCTACATCTTACTAATAGGCAACAGTAGTTATCTTAAGAACACAGCAGGTTGGTACTCATTGGCACTTGTGCTATTTGAGAAAACAAAACACGTACTACCCACACTATCTACATTGGGGAAATGAAACCTCCATTATGAAATAATTATGGACAGCATATACAGTTCCATATAAAGTTACTGATCTAATACTGACACTAAATCTGTTTTGCAAATGAAAAAAAAATCAATCACTCACTATCCAGAATTTAGTGAGTGAAAAAAAAGCAAGCGAATACGAAAACAAAATTAATTAGATTGGTGTTGGCTAACCTTTGGCATTTACATGTATGTTGTGTATACTGCAGTATCATTTTAATATCAAACTTAAAACACCACAAAACCTCCTACTCCAAATTTGGGTCACTGCAAGCATATAAATTGTGATTTTTTTGTGGTACTTTTATATTCAGAGTTTTCCCTGTCACTTCAAAGGATTTGTACCACAAATTTATCATTACTGCAAACAAATAATTCACCGAATTATTTTCCTCTGCACCTACTGCCATCGCGAACATATTTCTGTGAACATGGCCATTTTTCTCAGACTGCAAAATTTTGCTACCTTACTACTCACTACCACGAATATTAAGTGATTTACAGTATATGCTGCAGGATCAAATGGGGAAACCCCAAATAATTATAGCAGAAATTGATTTCTGTCTCCCAACATATTTCCACTCCATCCCTTCAAGGCTACATCACACAAAGTGCAATTTAAACTTTTCTATATGTGTTGGAGACGTGAGCTCTTCAAAACATCCCGGAGGCTTTCATCTGGTGGTGTAGCAAGCGGGAAAGATAATGGAGGCCAGGGAAGGTCATTTCTTCTTAAGGAAGGTTAAATTCATGGCAGACTTCTAGCCGCAGGAAGTCTACTCGCTTGGTCTGCTTCTTGGTTGTCATGAAATATCATCATCATTGTCACTCATATTTATTAACAATGCAGGCAACCACTGCTTCGTGAAGGGGAATTATGTAACATTTTTGCACAAAAAATATTTTCATTTAAAAAAATTATGTGATTGTCATTTACTTCTACTTTTTAACACATTGGTGCAATTATTTCACATTTCCACCACAAACTACATCATGTATGCTATATCCAAATCCCTTTGTTCGACCATGCAAAATATCATTCCACCTTTAATTTACCACTGCCACCATATTACACCTTTCCTAGCCATGTCACCAAAAACTATAGAATACATACTAGTGGTGTGAGCAGCCTTGTCTTTAATAAATACTCAACATGATGACTCATCTGAAACAAACATTCATAAACTTTAAGATACATGTCAATATTGTACATCCCAACAAGTTACAGATTCTAATACCAGAATGGTTGATATATAATTGGTTTATTGTTTCAATTGAAAGCAATACGCTAAAATACATTGCAGCGACTTGTACATAGTACAAGTCGCTGAATTATGCATATTAGGCAGTTACAAGAAATGAATAAAACACTTGATAAAATCTATAGAAACTACTATACATTGCAAAATAATTAAAATAATTAGACAATAATCATAATAAAAATTACCACACACTGATAGGTTACCTGACGTTGTTCAGAAGTGCAGTGAAGTATGGAATGGGGCTGATACAGAAAGATAGACTGGTGTTTACACTTATATGCAAAATTCAGTGATAAAAAGAATAATATTACACCCCAAAAAGATGTATAAAAGCTGAATAGTTGATACAAAACAATAGACTGTTAACATTATTGTGTGCAAAATTCAATGGCAAAAATCATGGTCTTCTTGATGCAACTAGCAATGTCTATCATAGTGTATTGGAGCACTTCATGGAGCAAGCTAAAAGCGCCATCTAGTCAATTTTGAATGAAGTGCATATTGCAATTCTCTACTGTTCTGTTAATGTTTTTGAAGCAAAAAGGTGTTAAAATGCATGTGAAAACCATTTTATTCAAAATTATGGCACTGGATGGCATTTCAGCACTACAGCACAACAGCATTTAAATCAGCACCACAGACAGCAGATTTTGCATAGGTCCTTGTATTTTAGCATTTTTAAGCCTTTTTTGTCATATGTACTGCATTTTAGTTTTAAAAAAAGGCGCCCATATAGGGAGAAAAACATAATTAACTTGCTTATTTATATTTAACAAAAGATAACAAATATGATATGAATGTTCATTTCCTACAGAGGAAAAGAGATTAAAATATGAGCTGTAATATAGTATCATCTCATTAGCAACACTGTTGCCATAGCTACAATGACATCATCTGGTTGCCATAGCAACATCTTACACAAGGGAAATGGAATAACAAAGGAGCTTGTAGTCATAGTAACAATGACATCATGCATACTAATGAGGTGGGTTGGACTATCCCATTGGTTAATCTAAATAAGATTGAGTAGGACCTTGTCTTTTTAAACACTATGCTTCTACAATGTAGGTTGTATGCTGAAAATACACCAAAGTCAGAAAGGCAATTTCTGAAAAACTACATGTATCTCTAAAGCAAAAAGGAAATAGAGTAAAGGCACCCAATGTAATTTCAGGACAACAATACTGGATTTTCAAAGTCAATTTACTGGTCTTAATTTAATGATTCAGAAGTAAGTTGAATCAATTCTATCTTATTATCCTATCTGTGTGGCAAAAATGTGATGTTGCTGAGGGAAAACTGTTGCTTGTTTTGTGCTGTAGGCTGGTTCTAGCTATTCCTGGGTGGTACCAAAAAATAAAGAGACAACTTATGTTGCTTTTTGGGGGGCTTCAAGTATGATATTAGCATTTCCAGCCATTTGTTAGCACAAATGCCAATATCATACAGATTCCCTCAACCAGAATTTTTTTTTCCCTCCCGGAACAGGCACTGGATGCCTTTTAATAATTCACATTCTCTACAAAATCTTCATCTAAGTTGAAGCGGATTTTCCTGGAGAAATACTTATTTTCCACACAGCAATGCTCATAAAGATTGGACAGGCTTTTCCTGTACTGCTGGGTGTTCCACTTTACACACCAATGCATCAAGGAAGTCCTGCATTTACCATGATGGGAGCTCAAGCTTTGCCATCAATATTCAGACTTTTCATTGCTGAAAGCCGGTGGTGTGCCTGGAATAACCTACAGTGCCTTTGATGGGGATTAAGTCTTTCCATTATTTACCTGTCTCATTTAAAGCTTCTTTTCTGTTCTAGCTTGTTATAAACGGCCATCTTTAGATTTTCTGATGTGCCTTCAGTGTCACTTTCAAGAGGTTTTAAAGAATATTCCTGTGGGGTTAAAGCTGAGTTCTTGGAATGGGAAAGCTCTAGTTCAACAATGTTTTTTTTTACCCAAAAGTAGAGCAGTAGAATTTTTTGATAAATTCCCACAGTAAAATTAGTTAACAAAGTACAAAAAATGCTGTTCTGGCAGAGATTAAGGTCGTTCCTTACGTTTTTTATGAAATTTCTACATATACCTCAACCTGGGATCTATAAACACGTAAAAAAACTAGAAGATTGCTGGATGTTTAAAAAAAGCTTGAGCTATCAATAATGGCTTCTATGGTAGTATGTGGGTCACAGGATGCCTTGCTTTTCTTCCCTTCCCTTCCATTGCTTTCCTGCTAAATGCAAGAACGGGGAAATCAAATTTGCGTGGCCTAGTTTTCTTACACCTTTTATTACCACCTTCTTTCCATATGCCAACACTTATAAAATCCCATCAGGAACTACAAATGACTTGTTAAGAATAATTGGAGGAAGGCTTGTGCCTGGAGATTACTAATGCCTCTACTTAACACTCCTGTATTGACCTGTGAAACCACCTAAGGCCATGTTGATTTGATTATATGGATGACATCCTCTGGGAACCTCAGAACTGATGCTACTCTGTGAATAAAGAAAAGGTTGGCAAATTGCCTTCATTATTATGAAATCTATGATTGTGTTCATGACGGTTTGATAAATGATTGGTATGGTAAGGTATGGCCAATAATAGACTATTCATTTTCATGTCTTCATAGTTTCTTCTTTTCCTCTATGGAATTAACTTTGGCATTATACGACATTGGTATCGTTTTCAATTTTTTTGCAATGTACAGCATATAATTGCTGATTTTCCAGCTGTTTTTTTACTTTATACTGTATGGTCGAAAACTTTTTATAGGAAATTCTTTCGCACAAATGTCATCAATATAATCAAATCAACATACTATCAGCCTAGTGGAAACCATGCTCATCAAATTCCAATCTTTCTACATTTACCATTTACATGTAGGTAATCATACTCTTGAGTCTGCAGGAGTACAATCCAAAGGAGCATTAGCATTAACAGTTGTTATTTTTAGAGATACATTTTTACTTGCTCTACTTTTGCTCTAATTTGAGTGTACCAACTATGTCTAGGTGAATATCAGGTGAATATACATGTGCTTTGGTTATAAAGAGGATATAAAATGGGTTTACCGAACAGCTTTCTCATCTTCACAGCTAAAAACTTGACTACTAGAAACCTTTTAAGGTATAAAGAAGGTCCCTTTCCACCCACACATTTGACATAAAATGGAATGAAACGATTCTGACATGATCTCCACCGCGTCGGAAGTTGTGGAGCCATCAGGACGGTAAGTGTAAGAAGTGGAAGTCTGTAGGTGTAATGTATTCTAACCCCACAAAGACAGTCACACAACCCACATGGAGATGCACATGACAAGCACATCCGCAGAACGTACCGTGCCTGCTAAACAAGGATTGTTCCGTTTTTTTGGTTGGATGTTTGGTTAACGTTTCATCAGAATTTTGTCCCTTGCAATGTCTTTTTGATTTGAAAACTATGAACGTGATGTTAACCTTAAATATTCTAATACAACCTTAGATATCCTAATACAACCTTAAATATGCAAATACAACCTTAAATATGGAAATACAACCTGTGCTATACACAATATACAAATGTATTACAAATTTTTAGCAGGCATAGTAGTGTACTCGATAAAGATACATGGAATGTAGAATTATATTCTATGTATTAGGTAAACTTGAAGCATCAAACTCATTATTTTTCATGCTACATCATAAAGGACAAAGCACACAGGAGAGAATACCAGAAGAATACGATGTAGTTACATGAAAACTGGCCACCAAAAATTCATTATGCTGTGTATGCTTTTAGCTAGAGTCCCTGGAAATAGATATTGAGGCCAGAACTATTTTGCCCATACATGATATGCAAAAGGAGTAAAAATGTTCTATTTTGTACATTGCACAGTAGGTTATCAATATGACCTCAATATACCCTGAGAGGCACTGGTTGAAATCTACAGCCACCTACACTGCTGCCCACCAAAGATGATGATGACAATGCCCTCATCATGCCTATACAGACCAATAACAATCCCACTAGACATTCTAGACTCAATTTCCTTTGATAGATTGGAACAAGAGGATCATGTTCAACTGACAACATCTCTGAAATTGGATGTCTGCCCTCCAGCACTCTCTCAGTTAATGGATACAAATTCAAACCCAGGACATGTACAATGTACAATGTCATGTGCAGGCCAACGTGATACAAGCATCTGCAATGTACAATGTATGGCTAAACGACCACCAAATAGCTGGCGCCAAAACACAGTATTATTTTGTAACTATTACAGTTACTACATTTCAGTAACTGCCATACAGAGTCAAAATTACTCATATTTCAAATTGGCAATATGCTATTCTTCAGTTTTGCATCAGTATATTTTATCAACTTTCAAAATTCTCATATAGGCAAGATGTTTTTGAAGCTGCAAATGTGAAAAATATGGACAATACAACAGGTAATTTTTTTTGGTCAATTCTTTACAAAGTAAGTTGAATCAACCTTGGCAAATATATTGTGTAAGTGCCTTAAATCATTCAGGAAGTGGAGGTGCCAAAATATGATGCCTTAAGAGTGTGCTGAAAGCTGGAAGCCAAGCTGTCATGTTTGTTTATATTCTGGTACTTTGTGGTGGCACCACAAACTCAGTGCACCTCACCTAATCTGTTTTAGTGCCAATCATGAATGTCAAAAATCTAAAATAGCACAAATATGTTGAAAAGTGCAAGCAAATACAATCCCATGTCCTTTTAAGATTTCAATTTTTGGTATAAAAATGTTACATAATTCACCTTTTTGTGGCCACGGTTGTCTAAGGCTCCACTATAATGTATGACTATGTAAAGCTAATATACGAGGAAAATTTCACTATACTACTAGCTAGGTATACTGCTTATGGAAAAAAATGAGCTGTGCGATTCTCAGGTCAA